GTTGCTTGCATGGTGTGATGGGTGCTTGCATGGTGTGATGGGTGCTTGCATGGTGTGATGGGTGCTTGCATGGTGTGATGGGTGCTTGCATGGTGTGATGGGGTGCTTGCATGGTGTGATGGGTGCTTGCATGGTGTGATGGGTGCTTGCATGGTGTGATGGGTGCTTGCATGGTGTGATGGGTGCTTGCATGGTGTGATGGGTGCTTGCATGGTGTGATGGGGTGCTTGCATGGTGTGATGGGTGCTTGCATGGTGTGATGGGGTGCTTGCATGGTGTGATGGGGTGCTTGCATGGCGTGATGGGGTGCTTGCATGGTGTGATGGGTGCTTGCATGGTGTGATGGGGTGCTTGCATGGTGTGATGGGGTGCTTGCATGGTGTGATGGGTGCTTGCATGGTGTGATGGGGTGCTTGCATGGCGTGATGGGGTGCTTGCATGGTGTGATGGGTGCTTGCATGGTGTGATGGGGTGCTTGCATGGTGTGATGGGGTGCTTGCATGGTGTGATGGGGCGCATGATGTGCTGGCCAAGGCGTTTCAGAAGTATGCATCCTTCAACAAGGCCAAGGTGAGGCAGCTGGTACGGGGGGGATGCATCTTGCTGCTGAGTAGCCAAGGGCCCTGCAAGGCCAAGGTGAAGCAGCATAGCAAAAGTGCAGCGCCAGGTGGGGGAGCGGTGGTGCTGGCTAGGTGTGCTGGCCAAGGCGTTTCAAAATTACGCGTCTTTCAACAAGGCCAAGGTGAGGCAGCTAGAAGGGGTAGGGGTAGGGTTGCAGTAGCGGGAGTGCAATGGCAGGGACGGGGTGGTAGGGGTGCGGTGGTAAAAGTGCAGTGGTGGCAGCATGATGTGTTGGCCAAGGCGTTTCAGAAATATTCGTCTTTCAACAAGGCCAAGATGGGGCAGGAGCGCTAAGGTGAGGCAAAACTGCGGTGGCACGGGTGGGGTGGTAGGAGTGCCGGGCACGTGTGGGGTGGTAGGAGTGCGGTGGCGGGGGTGGGGTGGTAGGAGTGCCGGGCACGTGTGGGGTGGTAGGAGTGCGGTGGCGGGGGTGGGGTGGTAGGAGATAGGGACCGGTTGCAGTAAGAGGTGGAGCAACTCAAAGGAGAGGTGGAGTGCCTTAAAGGAGAGGTGGGGAGGGAGGTGGAGAACAGGAGGGCAACCGAGGCAGAGCTGCAGGCTTGCAGGCGGTAGCTGGGTGTGATGGATGCTGTCATGCATGGATAGTAAGGTGCACGGAAGGAAATGTGCACCCTTACCATCCATGCACCTTACCATCCATGCACCTTACCATCCATGCACCTTACCATCCATGCACCTTACCATCCATGCACCTTACACCTTACCATCCATGCACCCTTACCATCCATGCACCTTACACCTTACCATCCATGCACCTTACACCTTACCATCCATGCACCTTACCATCCATGCACCCTTACCATCCATGCACATTACACCTTACCATCCATGCACCTTACCATCCATGCACCTTACACCTTACCATCCATGCACCTTACACCTTACCATCCATGCACCCTTACCATCCATTCGCATTTCCATCCACGCATGTCAGGATCCATCGCACCCAGCTACCGCCTGCAAGCCTACAGCTCTGACTCCGTTGAGTCGCTCCACCTCCTGCTGCAGCCGGTCCTTATATCTGCTGCCACTTTTCCGAGCATCACCTCCCTGCTCTGCACCTCTTTGTGTAGGGACAAGAACACGAGCCCCGAGTCACTTGTCCACTCCACCCCCCCCCTTCCCCCCCCGCCCCCCTCCCCCAGCTTCCTTTCAGGACGTGAGGGATAAGACCACGATGATGCAGGGTTCTTACTAGAATTCCCAGAAAAAACCTGCATCGTAGGGACAATATCACGGGCCCCAAGACACTTGCTCACTCTCCCCCCCTCCCCCTCCTTTCAGGTCATGAGGGACAAGGGGTACAGATTCGTGAGCTTTCGTGTCGACTCAGAGCCCATCTTGTTTCACCTGTACGCTTCATCCTTTGCTTCGCTTCCCTCTGTTTTTGTGCTTAACGCCGTACGCACTGCAGGTGGTGAGGAACAAGATGACAGGCAAGACCAAAGGATACGGGTTCGTGGACTTAGACACAACCACCCTCCGCTTCCCGCACCCCTCATTGCCAATTGCTCTCTCCTACCCACTGCAGGTGGTGAGGGACAAGACGACGGGCAAGACCAAGGGGTACGGCTTCGTGAGCTTCTGACACAACTCTAAGTCATTCCGTTCCGCTTCCTCACATCCCACACCCTGTTCCAGGTGGTGAGGGACAAGACGACGGGCAAGACCAAGGGGTATGGCTTCGTGAGCTTCGGTGAAGTGATGGACTGTGCTGCTGCTCTCAAGGAGATGAATGGTGAGTCAAGCCAGTCAATGGTTGGGTCAGTGGTAAGTCAATGCAGTCAATGAAGTCAACAGGGGGTGAGTGAGTGATGGACTGTGCTGCTGCTCTCAAGGAGATGAATGGTGAGTCAAGCCAGTCAATGGTTGGGTCAGTGGTAAGTCAATGCAGTCAATGAAGTCAACAGGGGGTGAGTGAGTGATGGACTGTGCTGCTGCTCTCAAGGAGATGAATGGTGAGTCAAGCCAGTCAATGGTTGGGTCAGTGGTAAGTCAATGCAGTCAATGAAGTCAATAGGCGGTGAGTGAGTGATGGACTGTGCTGCTGCTCTCAAGGAGATGAATGGTGAGTCAAGCCAGTCAATGGTTGGGTCAGTGGTAAGTCAATGAAGTCAATAGGGGGTGAGTGAGTGATGGACTGTGCTGCTGCTCTCAAGGAGATGAATGGTGAGTCAAGCCAGTCAATGGTTGGGTCAGTGGTAAGTCAATGCAGTCAATGAAGTCAATAGGGGGTGAGTGAGTGATGGACTGTGCTGCTGCTCTCAAGGAGATGAATGGTAGTCAAGCCAGTCAATGGTTGGGTCAGTGGTAAGTCAATGCAGTCAATGAAGTCAATAGGGGGTGAGTGAGTGATGGACTGTGCTGCTGCTCTCAAGGAGATGAATGGTGAGTCAAGCCAGTCAATGGTTGGGTCAGTGGTAAGTCAATGCAGTCAATGAAGTCAACAGGGGGTGAGTGAGTGATGGACTGTGCTGCTGCCCTCAAGGAGATGAACGGTGAGTCAAGCCAGTCAATGAAGTCAACAGGGGTGAACTAAATGATGGGTCAGTTAGAGTCTCTGCGGTCAGGTCTTGGGGAGTCAACGAGTTCAGCCACGAGCCTGGGAGCTCTAAATTTGGAAGTACCCTGTTCGGTGCAACCGGAATGTGATTTGCTCTCTGTGCTTTTATGCGTTTACGGTACTGTTCTCTGCATGTGCATGCTGGCGTGAGCAGGCAAGTATGTGGGAAATCGGCCAATCAAGCTGCGCAAGAGCTCGTGGCAGGAGAGGATCGACACGGACGCTCTTAAATCTCGGAACCGCAGCAGCCGGGTAAGCAGCAGCACCTCAGCATAAAATTCCCTTTTAAGTTGTTGCTACATGTGCGATTTTCCTGCGTCTCGCAGCTCACCCTCTGTTTGGAGCAGTCGTGTGTGAAAGCAGCCCTGCAGCATTGAAATTTACAATTGCTGCTATATGTACGATATTTCTGTGTCTCATGACTCGCACTCTTTTCCAGTGTTTCTGCACTTTATTGTTCTACTCCACGATCCTAAGCACGTGGTGGCGATTTTTTTTTCCCATGGTCACATGGATATGTGTGTTCACAGCCTAAGGAGAAGCGTCAAAAGAAGAACTTTCTGCACCGTTGAGGTGATGCCTGAAACCTAATGACACTGACAGCTTCGATCTTTGGATGGAAATTGCTCCAATAGCAATGTCAGGAAGAACATGATAACCAGTGAAGTGTAACCAGCTTGTGGAACTTTCACGTTTTCCTAAATATGCAAGCTTCATGAGTATTCTCCTGGACAAGCTTGTGCGCCTAAATAATACAATTCCACTGGTTAGGGAGCCAGATGCAGTGGAGCAATGTTAAAAGAGTGAGAATCACGTCCACAAGTTTGCATGGAAGAGATTAATTGTTTTTACGAATACAATTCTGTAAGGAATAATGAGCATGTACCTCGCTGAGGGTAAAGTCGAGGCCCACAACAAGCTGTATTGCGTGTGCATGGCACGAGGCTTGTACGCTCGGTTATGATCAGCCACTCACAGCCATACCGAGGCATATCAGAAGCCTCGGATGACGCAAACTTTCATGCATTGCCGAACCGGGCGGTATGGTGCCGTGCCGAGCCAGACAGCCATCCAGCTGGTACATTGAGCCTGCCTCTTAGACAAGTCCCAAGGTACTTTCGGATTCAGTCTGACAGAATCTGCTAATCGGCTAACCAACAGAGTCTGTCAGCCTCCTAAATTCTACTTCGTTAGGCTCTGTCTGTGCAGCTGAGCTTTTCCAACAGTCACAGCTGGTCGTGCTGCATACTAAGACAGCTGATCGGTCGCCTGCTGTGGCAGTCCCTGCATTTACTAAGACAGCTCTTTTGACGCTCTCCTGACGTGTCTTGCTAAAGCTCAGTAGATTGTTAACGGATTGCCGCAGGTCAGCTCATCTCGCTAACTCGCGCGTGATCTCTCGAGCGTTTCTTTCGGCTGCATCTCGGAGCCTCCCTCTTCCTGACACGTCACACTTGATCTTGAATACTTTCATTTCTTCACGATCTTCGAGTTCCAGCCTCTTCCGGCTGGCGACCGATCGTCAGGATCGCTGCCTTGGTTCGCGTGTCTAGATTCGAAACGCAATTAAGCAAGACGGTCAATTTACGCTGACGACGGATCTGAGCCGTCGACCAGTACAGTTCAAAGCCTGAAACCCCTCAGAAACTCTTCCCTCCTCCCGTTTCCAAATAAGCATCCGAACTAGCGAATCCGCCGCGATTTCGCGTTCCTACCGGATTCCGTCCATCGTGTATCCTCTTCCGTCTTGACTCCTGATCCTGACTTCGCTTTCCTCGTCCCTCTCTCCTGCACCATGGCGTACACGCGTCCCGAGGTCGTGGAGGAGGAGGAAGCTTCCACGATAGAGCTACTGGGCGACTCGGTCATCCCGGTAGTTAATAAACTGCAGGACATATTTTCGCAGCTTGGATCCTCCAGCGCGATCGACTTACCGCAAGTAGCCGTTGTGGGGAGTCAGAGCAGCGGGAAATCCAGCGTGCTCGAGTCGCTCGTGGGAAAGGACTTTCTGCCACGTGGATCTGACGTGGTCACGCGCCGGCCGCTGGTGCTGCAGCTGGTGCAGGTGCCGAAGCGCGCGGACGGCAAGGCGGAGGAATGGGGGGAGTTTCTGCACCTGCCGGGGAAGAGATTCACGGATTTTTCCGCGATTCGAGACGAGATTCAGGTATTTTTGCCTCCGCGATCCGGGACGAGTCCAACTTGGTGGATCAAAGACACTATGTACTCCCTATATCTGGAATCCTGTTGGAAATTCTGAGCCTTTGAGTCGAAGCGTAGTCTTGCGAAATGTGATATGGATTTACTGGAGCCCCTGTACCCTGCGTGTTTGTGCTGACTGAGATGCAAATTCGTTACAAGGTCTATCCGTTGCTGCACTGCACTGCAGCTCCTCTTGAGTCGTCTCAAAGTTTTAGTCCTGCCAACCAAGTGGGCCTCTGGATTCACTGGGATTTCTGAACCTCATGTGTTTGTACCCACTGAGACGCAAAGCTGTTATGAAGTTCATGTCATGTGTTTGCTTTGCAGTCTGCAATTCTTCCGTTGCTGCTTCTTTTGCTTTTTCTTGTCAGTTTCCCGTTCTCCTTTCATGTAGCTGGAGACGGATCGGGAGGTGGGGATCAACACGGGCATCACTGGGAGGGAAATGCTCGCCCCACTCACTCACCATCACGCCTGCTCTTACTTTACTGCTCTCCTACTCGACTTCTTCCCCCTTCTGGGTCTTTTTTCTCCCTTTCCGTCCCTCCCTCCTGTCTCAATCTTTCCAACCCCGCTTGCAGCTGGAGACGGAGAGGGAGGTGGGGATAAACAAGGGCATAACGGAGAAGCAGATTCGGCTCAAGATCTTCTCCCCCCACGTGCTCACAATCACCCTCGTGGACCTGCCCGGCATCACCAAGGTGCCCGTCGGCGACCAGCCCTCCGACATCGAGGCGCGCGTGCGATCCATGATCCTGGCTTACATCAAGCACGAGACGTGCATCATTCTGGCGGTCACGCCCGCGAATGCCGATTTGGCTAACTCGGATGCGCTGCAAGTGGCGCGCATGGCTGATCCTGATGGTGAGTCTGAGTATTCAGGTGTTAATGCTGGTGAGTCAGTGCGATCCATGATCCTCGCATACATCAAGCACGAGACGTGCATCATCCTCGCTGTTACTCCTGCCAATGCGAACCTGGCGAACTCTGATGCCCTGCAAGTGGCGCGCAAGGCTGACCTCGATGGTGAGGTTCAGGAAAGGGTGGTGGTGGATGGTGATGTGGTGCAAGTGGCGCGCATGGCTGATCCGTATGGTGAGAGACTGACTGTGCTGGTTTGCATGGTTCAACTAATTCTTTGGGTTTGGGGAATGGGGTTCGGTGATCGGTCCATGCTCCTGGCATCTGGTACATAGACGCACTGGTTTGGATGCTTTCAGAGGAGATAGAGCTTCAGGGATGGGTGGTTGGTTCGTTTGTCCTTTGCGCCGACTCAGAAGCCATTCTGTGTTTGTTTTGTCTCCTACTGCAGCCATTCGCTTATTCGAATCTCATCATAGTTCCCTATCCTTGTGGCCCTGTGTGTGTCCCCTCCCGCTTCTCATTTGCTACCCTTTCAGGGCATCGAACAATTGGAGTCATCACCAAGGTATGCCTTGTCGTCTTGCAGTTTTTTGCTGCTCTTGCACTTTTATTGAAAGGAGAATATATATTTTGTTGGCCAAAATCAGTCATAACGTCTGTGACCTACCACTTGTAACGATCGCCTTACCCTAGGACGCGTCATCCCTGATGCTCTTTCTTCTCGAATTACATTCTCCATCTTTCACTGTAATATTGCAGCTGGACATCATGGATCGGGGCACAGATGCATGCAACCTGCTGCTAGGGAATGCATCGGTTTGCGCAGCTTGGCTCCTGACTTTCTGACCGACCTGCTCTTGATTCTCTCTCTTGCAACTATCTCTCTCTCGTGACTTTCTCACTCTCCCACCCTCGCAGCTTGACATCATGGACCGGGGCACGGATGCATGCAACCTGCTGCTAGGGAATGCAGCAGCTCGTGCAGCTTGGCCCCTGACTCTCTCCTGCAACTATTCTTTCTCTGTCTCCCTCCCTCACCCTCGCAGCTTGACATCATGGATCGGGGCACAGATGCATGCAACCTGCTGCTGGGGAATGTGATTCCGCTGCGCCTGGGCTATGTGGGCGTCATCAACCGCAGCCAGGAGGTGCGCTTGTGCGCGTGTGAACACTTTCATCTCACTGGGTAGTTGTGGAGAACATTAGGTGAGTGTGTGTCAACAGATGCATGCAATCTGCTTCTGGGGAATGTCATCCCCGTGCGCCTGGGCTATGTGGGCGTCATCAACCGCAGCCAGGAGGTGGGTTTATTTGAAGGGGGGGCTGAGGAGGTAGTGAGTGTTGGGGGCTGGGGAGGTGTGTTTACTGGGATGTACCCTTCTTCAACGATAGAGAATGTCATCCCACTCCGCCTGGGCTATGTGGGCGTTGTTATCCACAGCCAGGCCAGGAGGTGCGTTGATTCCAGCGGAGACTTGTTTGATGAGAGTGCGTGAGGTGAGGTGAGGGATGCCTGCAACCTGCTGCTAGGGAATGTCATTCCGCTGCGCCTGGGCTGTGTGCGCGTCACCAACCGCACCGCAGCCAGGAGGTGTGTTCTTGCACTTGTGAATGTGTTTATTTCACTGGGTAAGTAGTTTTGACGTGCGTGCACTGGGGGTGTGTGTGTGTGTGTTGACGGATGACCACAACCTGCTCCTAGGGAATGTCATACCCCTGCATGCGGACTATGTGGGCAGGGCATCATCATCTGCAGCCAGGAAACGCCCACATCATACCCTTTCTGCCCTTGTCCCATGTCATGCCTCTTCTCTTCTCCCCCCTGTCAGGACATCAACGCAAAGAAGAGTGTCAAAGATGCTCTCACCTACGAAGAGGCCTTTTTCCGAAGCAGACCGGTGAGTTGGAGAAGATGTTTTGTTAAGGCTGAGGCGAGCAAATTGTTTTCCATACATAGCTGCGCTGTGCTTGTGATTCGTGAACTGGTGACTTTGAAGTTTTCATTTTCCATTTGTTTGTGAGGGAGACCCACTTGTGACTTGCTGGTGTTCTGTACTCCCACTCGTGACTCGTCTGTATGCCTCTTTGCATGTCTGTTTGCACGTGGCACCACAGGTTTACCATGGCTTGGCGGATCGGTGTGGGATTCCGCAGCTTGCTAAGAAGCTCAACTCGGTGAGTAGAGAGTCTAGTTGGTAGGGGCTTGCAGGAGTCATTACAGAAGGGAATTGAAATTAGTGTAGCAAGGGATGTGGGTAGAATGGGTTATTATTGGGTTATAATGGGGTACTTCTGTTTTACCATGAGTTGGAGGATTGGAATGGGATTCTTCAGCCTGTCAAGAAACTCAACCCAGTTAGTTGAGAGCCTAGCTGATGGCACGTTTGCTTCCGACAGTACCACGCTATGTGTCCACTAGTCTTTCAATCCCTTTCGTCAGATTCTAGTCCAGCACATCCGTCTGCTGCTGCCGGACCTCAAGGCGCGGATGAACGCTCTTCGAGGCTTATTAGCATTCACATGTCGTCATCTCTCCCCTCTGTGTGGGTGTCTCCTCTCAGATTCTCGTGCAGTACATCCTCCTACTCCTGCCGGGCCTCAAGGCACGGATCAACTTTCACCCTTCAACTGCTTCTGTCTCCGCCTCCATCCATCCCCCTCACTGCGTGCTTTCAGATTCTAGTGCAGCACATTCTTCTGCTGCTGCCGGACCTTAAGGCGCGAATCAACGCTCAAATGTTCATTCGATTCACATGTCCTTTCACGTCTTTGCCTCTCCATCCCCCCCCCCTCTCACTGCCTGGTTTCAGATTCTAGTGCAGCACATTCGCCTGCTGCTGCCAGATCTCAAGGCGCGGATCAACGCTCAGATGGTGGCGGTGCACAAGGAGCTTGTGGGGTACGGGGAGGCGGCAGAGCGGGTGAGTGAGTGTTGTGTTGCAAAGAGAGGGCTGTATACAGCAAAGGGTAGACGGGTAGGTTCAGCGCTCAGATGGTGGCGGTGCACAAGGAGCTTGTGGGGTACGGGGAGGCGGCAGAGCGGATGAATGTTGTTTGGTTTGAGGAAGTGCACAGAAAGGGTGATTGTTATCTTGTAGGAGATGCACATAAACGCTGATACGGAGGTTGCCAGTGCACAAGAAACTCGTAGGGGATAGGGGGGGATAGGGAGACGGCTGATGGATGAAAACAGGGATGGTGAGCTGGAGAGGAGGTGTTGAGATGGGAGTTGGGATGATGCGTGAAATGAGGGGGCAGGGACTGTGAGGTGGACAGAAGGTCCTGAAATGGGAGGTGAGGGAGATACGTGAAGGAGAGCACGTTTCTGTCAAGGAGGCATCAGGTGATGAAACTAGTGTTTTGAGACGTCTCAAAACACTACTTCTATCAGGAGGTGCGGACATGGGAGGGAGGTGAGGGAAAAACGTCAAGGAGAGCAAGGGAAAAGAAAAAAAGATACGTTTTCGTGAAGGAGGCATCATCACCACTGTCTGTCAACGTCCCATGCACTCTGTGTTTGTGGTGATCCCCTTCCCCGGACTTTGTGCTCCTCTAAGGTGTTTTTGTGGGCCACGTTTGGGTGATTCTCCTCCCTGCTGCCTGTATGTGCTCCCTTCCCCTCAGGCCACCATGGGAGTTCTTTTGCTGAACATTCTCACCAAGTACTCTCAATGTGAGTTGCTCTTCCAACCCCCGCTGCTACATTTAAATTTGTATGTTGCAATAAGAGTTTCCGGGCTTTCAGTGCGTGCACTGTAAGTCTGCGTGAGTATTAATGAATCTACAGGAGATGTTTTCTAGCTTAACATCTCAACCCAACCCAAGTGCTCTCAACGTGAGTTGGGTGTGTGTGCGATTAGTTTGACTGACTTTTGATGGTGTGCTGTAAGCGTGTTTTCATTTCCTAGTGCACACTCTATTTACCTGCATTGTATTTTTTATCCTGTGAGCAGCCTTTGTGACGATAGTGGACGGCAAGAACCAGGGCATGTCCACAGCCGAGCTGGCGGGAGGAATTTTGGGAATTCTCAATGCTTATTCTCACAAGCATATCCTGCTTTCTTTCTTGACCCTGAGCAGCCTTTGTGACGATAGTGGACGGCAAGAACCAGGGCATGTCCACAGCAGAGCTGGCGGGACCGGGGAGGAGCTCGAATCCACTACATGTTACTCATGTGCATCTCTTTCTTTTCCTGCTGCGTATCTTACCCTGAGCAGCCTTCGTGACGATAGTGGATGGCAAGAACCAGGGCATGTCCACAGCAGAGCTGGCGGGAGGAGCTCGAATCCACTACATCTTCCAAAGCATCTTTGTCAAATGCATCGACGTGAGTTTGGTTTATTGATGTGAGGTAAGTTCGGCGCATTGAGTTGAGTCCCGTTTGATGTCCTAGACATCTTTGTCAAGGGCATCAATGTGAGTCACATGATCACATCGGGTCTTCCATATTCCATGTGTGCGTGCATGCGAGTTCAGTGCATGGATGTGAAGTTCCCTCCCTTCACTCCGTCCCTTCACTCCCTCCCCTCCCATCGTGCCTCTCAGGAGGTGGACCCCTGTGAGGACCTTTCAGACGAGGACATTCGCACAGCCATTCAGAACGCCACGGGAACGAAGAATGCGCTTTTCGTACCGGACGTAAGTTTAGCCTTACCTATTTGTTGTATGCTTTCACTCACTTCTTGCGTGTCAGGTGTGAGTAAGTAATGCCTTGGTTATTTATCCGCTGTAACTGCTTCCCCGCCCATCCCCTCGGCTCGGCAGGTGCCCTTTGAGGTGCTGGTGAGGTGGCAGATATCGCGTCTGCTGGACCCCTCGCTTCAGTGTGCGCGATCCGTTCTTCCTCCCTTCCTTTCTCCCGTCAACTGTCCCTTGTGCCCCCTTGCACAGGTGCCCTTTGAGGTGCTGGTGAGGTGGCAGATATCGCGTCTGCTGGACCCCTCGCTTCAGTGTGCGCGATCCGTTCTTCCTCCCTTCCTTTCTCCCGTCAACTGTCCCTTGTGCCCCCTTGCACAGGTGCCCTTTGAGGTGCTGGTAAGGCGGCAGATATCGCGTCTGCTTGACCCCTCGCTTCAATGCGCGCGCTTCGTCTACGACGAGCTAGTCAAGGTGGGCTTTGTCCTATAAGCAGATAGATGGCTTATGATGTCTCCAGTGCACCTTGTCAACAAGTCACAGATATCACATCTGCTGGCCCCCTCACTTCAATGCGCGCGCTTCGTCTACGACGAGCTAGTCAAGGTGAGGCACCTCCGCCCCCTCCTTCAGAGCAGCAAGGTGTATACGTTCAGGTGCGTTCGCTCACCTCATGCGCGCGTGTGTCTGCTGGACCCCTCACTTCAATGCGCGCGCTTCGTCTACGACGTCATAGACAAGGTGAGCGCTACAACGAGATGGACACTGAGTTAGGAGCCACCCCGTGACAAAGACACAGACATCGCATGTGCTGGCCTTGTCGCCCTAGTGCACCCCCTTTAAGTCTAGAATGAGCATGTCAAGATGAGGCTCCTTCTCATTCGCGTGTGGTGAGATTCGCTTTCGATGCGTCCACTTGCCCTGCCCCACCCTGCCGTGTGCTATGCAGATTGCCCACCGCTGTGAGTCATACCAGCTGGCCTGCTTCCCTGGCTCAACCCTGCAGGCGAAGCACCCCCCTATCACGTCTTCCCACCCACCATGTTTCATGCCTCACAGATCGCTCATCGCTGTGAGTCATACCAGCTGGCCCGGTTTCCTGTGCTGCGGCGCAAGGTGGAAGAGACACGTAATGGGGAGCTCAAGCCAGTTTCCATTCTTCTCCCTCCCTCCCTCTCCTGCTCTGCGCCTCACTCACAGATCGCTCATCGCTGTGAGTCGTACCAGCTGGCCCGCTTCCCTGTATTGAGGCGCAAGGTGGAGGAGACGGTGGGGAGCTTTCTCAGGGAGGGGCTCACTCCTGCTGAGACCATGATTCGGCACCTCATTGACATGGAGGTATGGGGATTTGGGCAAGGGGGGGTATGGGGTGGGTGGGTATGAACGTTCAACTTCTCAGGGAGGGGCTTACTCCTGCAAAGACCATGATTCGACACCTCATTGACATGGAAATATGTTTTGAATGGACTCAAAAATGCGCTGCCAAGGCTCACAAGAGGGTAGGTCCGTTCGGCGGAGTCGACGTGGAGACGACCATGAAGCTGTTTTGAAAAATACTGACGAGAGACATGAGCCCTCGTCAGTATTTTTCGAAACTGCTTCATGGTCGTCTCCATGTCGACTCCGCCAAACGGACCTACGCTCTTGAGAGCCTTGGCAGCGCACACACGGATGGCAGCAGTGCGGTCCCCCTGTCGGTCGAGCAGGATTTTACGGACGACGTTCTTCGTACAGGAAAACGGAGGCAGAAAAATACATCAATACATCGCATCCAAGCTTCATTGCTAGGGCTTATCTTCACAATCTTTCCACCTGTTCTTCACCGCTATGTTCCCCCTGCCTCCTTCCGTCTTGTATGACCAGATGGATATCAATACATCCCACCCTAGCTTCATGGCAAGCAGTAGGGATAATCTTCCACCACCTTTCCACCTGTTCTTCCCCCCTTCCTTCCCTTCCTTATATCCCCCCTGCTTCCTTCCGTCTTATGTAAGCAGATGGATTACATCAATACGTCGCATCCAAGCTTCATTGGGGGCAGCAGAGCCGTTGAGATTATCCTGCAGCAATTGAGGGTGAGTACACAAATACCCTTGAAATGTTGGAGCATTTGGAAAGTATGGTCGATGGATCATGGAGGTAGTTCCTTGGTTTAGCACTGGCAGCAATAGGTTGAAAGTTCAGATTGCTCGCCTTGTTTTGAACATGCAGCTGTGGTGCTTCGTTTAAATTCGTACGGTTAGAATCGTCCTGTTTTGTTGTGTGCCGTTTCCTCCCACGCCCCTTCCCCTACCTGCAGGGAAGAACAGTGAGGGCACGAGCAGCAGAGGCGGGTGCTGCACTGACAGCAGCGGGAGCAGGAGGGTAGCTTCGTATCGATTCACACTGAAAAAGAAATTGTCCTGTTTCATTGTGTGCTGCGTCCTTCCCCCTGCCACTACACCACTCACACCTGCAGGAAGGGAAGGGCAGTGAGGGAGGAGGGCAAGGAGCAGCAGGGGTTGGCGCTGCTGGTGGTGCACTCACAGCAGCGGCAGCAGGAGGGGGGTCCCCGTCAACTGCTGCAGTGGCGTCGGTGGCAGCAGCAGCGAAGCAGAGGGTGATGCTGATGAGGAAGGAGGGAGCGGGGCAGGGTCAGGGAGGGCAAGAGCAGCAGCAGCAACAGGGGGGCAAGCAGGCAGCCACTGCAAATGGCACAGTTGCAGACAAGCAAGGTAAGGATCTCTGGCACTAGTGTTATTGTTCTTGTAATTGTTATGGTTATTATAGTTTTTGAGAGTGTTGCTCAGGAATGCCCCAGCCCTTGCTCCTTTCCCCCTCAATTCTCTTCCCCCTTTGCTGCTCTCACCACCTTACTTGCTCCTCCCTCCCTCTCCTTCCTCCCACCTGCTCACAGGGTCCTCGTGGGGCATTTCGTCCATCTTCGGAGGGCAGGAGAGCAACAGAGGACCCCACCCCGCTGCCACAGACCTCACCCCTCCCCCCTTTGCGTCTGGCAGCAGTGAATCGGCAATCAACGGGCCTCCTCTCATCATCTTCCTCTCTCGCCCTCTCCCTGCCACCTGCTCACAGGGTCCTCGTGGGGCATCTCGTCCATCTTCGGCGGGCAGGAGAGGAACCGAGGAGGATCCGTCTCGTCTGCCACAGCCCTCCCTTCCCCCCTGCCTCGCTTCCCCTTGATTCTCTTCATCTTTCATCCCTCCCTCCCCTCGCATCACAGGGTCCTCGTGGGGCATTTCGTCCATCTTCGGCGTCACAGCACTGTCTGGGGCCAACAAGCTCACTCTCGTGCTTCATCCTCCCCTCCCTCCCCTCGCATCTCAGGGTCCTCGTGGGGTATCTCGTCCATCTTCGGCGGGCAGGAGAGGAACCGAGGAGGAAACGTCTCGTCTGCCACAGCGCTCACGCCCTTCCCACTCGCTTCGCCTGAACCCATGTCTGCCCCTGGTGGTTCTGCGCCCAACGAGCCTGCATCCACTATCCTTCTCAGAGAGGTAAACATATGTCTTCTATCATTTTTACCCCTGCCCCTCTTTGTATACGCTTTCTGTTTCTGTACCTCTTTCCTGGTTGGTTGGACTGTGAGGCACCCTCAGGTTGTGAGCGGTGGAAGTGGGTTGGGGAAGGTTGAAGTAGGACCTGGGTGGTACGGAGCGGTATTACTCGCTGGGTTTCAGGAGGTCCTGTTTCGTTCTCTCTTTCATATCATTTAGGTTTTCTTCTGTCTTGTTTTCAAGGGTAGCGGAGCTAGTTCTCAGCCTTACAGGTAGCTCTGTGCCTGTTTGTGGGCAGAGCGGTGGTGTGCGGGAGGGGAGGAGGGGCAGGAGTGGGGCCCGCAGCAGCAGAGGCATTCTGGGAAGAAGAAGCAAGGCTGCTGCAGCAGCGTCAACAACCCGTAGCCTTGCCACTGCTGCTATGGTCCCTGCTGGGTCAGCACAGATGGTTGTCGCTGGGCCTGTTGTTTCTGTGAGAGGAACTGTGTTGCAACAGGGGCAGCAGCAGCAGCAGGTGGGGCAAATAGAGCTAATAGAGCAGCAGCAGCAGCAGCAGCAGCAGCAGCAGCAGCAGCAGCCGTTGCGGGTGGTGATACAGCAGCAGCAGGTGCAAGAGCAGCAGCAGCGGCAGCAACGGCGGTGGTGGCGGCGGCAGCGGCAGGGGTGGGTGGGCATGGCGTTGATGGGGGCAAGACTCGTTCTGCATTCCATGGCAGCAGGGGGAGAGGCGCATTTACACACCCCTTTAGACCCGGATGTGAGAGGCATGGTACATGCCATGTCTCTGCCTCAGAACGACATGCCTGAGGGCATGCGAGTTGGGAATAGAGATGCGTCTGGAGGGGTTAAGAGGGGTGCAGATGGTGCTGTGCTGCGTGGAGGTGTGCAGCAGGCTTTGCCGTCAGGAGAGGGTAGGAGTGAAGGGAGGGCGGGTGGGGAGCAGGAGCAGCAGCAGCATACTCAGTTGCGAGGGGATTATCAGCAGCAGGAGCAGCAGCAGGAGCAGCAGCAGGATCAGCAGGAGAAGGAGCAGGAGAAGGGACAGGAGAAGCAGCAGCAACGTGAGCAGCTGGAGGGGAGAGGAGGAGACGAGCCAGCAGACGCGTCTGCCCGCGATGTTGTTTTCCAAGTGCTGCAACCAGCAGCGCAGGCAATGCAGCAGGAGCAGGAGCAACAGCCGCAGCAAGAAACGGTTTTGAACAGAGGAACGGAGAGGGGTGGGGATGTGGCACGCAGTGACCCTTTTGCGGAAGCTGATGATATTGGTGATGTGAGGAGGGAAGCAGATGGTAATGCGGTTGGGGGAGGGGCTGAAGCGAACATGGCAATCGATGATAGTATGGCAGCAGAGACAAGAGGGAGGCTGGAGGGTGGTGGTGATGAGAGAGGCTGCGAGGCAGCACAGCCAATGGGGAGGTCTGTTGAGGGCGCTAGGCTGGAGGAAACACCGACTGTTTCTGGGAGGCTGAATGATTGTATGCCCCGGGCACATTGTATAGACTGTATGCCGGGTCATAGAACTGAAGGCCACCCTCAACACCAACACCAGCAGCAGCTGCAGCACCAGCAGCAAGAAGAGGCACAAGCCAATCCTTGGCTAGCAGATGGGGATGTTGCAGGGAGTAGACAAAGAGATAGGATGGCGTGGCAGAGAGAGAGGCAGAGGCAGAGCAGTGGGGGCAGACGCATCAGCATCTGGCAGCAGGAAGATTACAGTTACAGCTACAGCTACAGCAGCCGCTTGGGGTTACCCTATGCAGTGTCAGCGTCAGTGTCTTCCAATTTGCTCCCTCGGTCGCCACGAGCAGCAACCATGGACGAGTGGGAGTGGCTGCAGCAGCAGTCGCAGCTAGCCGTCTCCCTGCCCCCTGTAGGGTCCTATCCCGGTGCCTCTGGGGTGTGGGCAAAGGGGAAAGGAGAACTTACTGCTTGGCATGTTGTGGCCTCCCGCTCATGCTGGTTTTCTGTGTTGTTGTCTCTCTTGTTTTCTCTTGCCTCGAGTGAGAGTGGCTGCAGCAGCAGTCACAGCTAGCTGTCTCCCTGCCCCCTATTGGTTCCTACCCCGGTGCCTCTGGCCGGGGGGGTGGGCGAGGATGGGAACAGAAAGATCTCTATGTGTCGCTGGCATGTCGCGGGTGGCCGTTCCCTCGTGTTTGGTCCTGTGTGTTGTGCCATTTTGGTTATTTCTCCTCTTCTTTCTATCTCTTCAGAGTTTCAAGTCTTTTGTCCTTTGTACCCCCCTCACCTCTACTACCCCTCTTAGGTCTTTATCCCCTCGCAAGTCCCTCCCTTGGCCCACCCTCGTTTCTCTTTGTCTTACCTGTCTCCACCCTACCCTCTTGTTCTTTCCATCAGTTTCTCTCTCCTCCCTCATGCCGTTTGTTGTTCTTCCTAAATTGTTAAAACGGGTAGCGTGCGTGCATTAGGGCATGGAGATTTGAGTGATTTGTGTGTGTTTCCTTCATCTTTTCTTCCCTCTCTCCTTTCCGTCCCCTACCTCCCCTCTTCTGCCTCTTCCCCCTTCTCTCCCTATGGTGTTCCTCCAGCCGCCCTCTATTCTGCGAGCGAGCGAACAGCGGTCAGCAGAGGAGGGCGTGGAGATCGGGGTAACCCGCCTGCTTCTAAAGTCATACTACGACATTGTGAGGAAGAACATTCAAGATGCCGTGCCCAAGGCCATCATGCACTTCCTGGTGAGTGTGTTTGGCGGTGGGTGGGTGGGTGGGTGAGTGGTCCTTGCATGCTTGTCATTGTGAGGGCGTGAGGACTGGGTGTCTTGGCTGCTGCTGCTCCTGAAGTCATACTACGACATTGTGAGGAAGAACATTCAGGATGCCGTGCCCAAGGCGATTATGCACTTCCTGGTGAGTGGTGATGTGCGGTGGGGGAGAGGTGCTACTGGTTTGGGATAGGGGTGAGTCGACTGCCCCTAAAGTCATACTACGACATTGTGAGGAAGAACATTCAGGATGCCGTGCCCAAGGCGATTATGCACTTCCTGGTGAGTGGTGATGTGTGGTGGGGTTGCTGCTGGTTCCCTGCTGGATAGGGGTGACTCGCCTCCTCCTCTCTCTCGCTCACTCGACCCTTTCTTGCCTTATCGCCATGTGTGAATCTTCTGTTTTTACCCCCCATATTCCAGGTTAACCATGTGAAGAGGGAGCTACACAGCGTGTTCATCCAACAACTGTACAGGTAAGCTGATTGGTCAATGTGGTGCAAGAGTGGAATTTTATTGCACAAGTGATTGAACAGATCGAATTCGGTGCAAGGGAGCTGCACGCGATGCTATGTCAAACCCTTTTGTATTCCGGCTCTATGAAACGACTTTTGAGGCGCCTATATCAAACCCTATTGCATTCCGACTCTGTGAATTGCAGGGAGGCACTATTCGAGGAGATGCTGCAGGAGAGGGAGGACATTGCATCGAAGAGGCAGCGGTGCAAAGACATCTATGCAGTGCTGCAGCAGGCCGCATGGGTACGTATTGGTGTAAGGGAGTGATTCGTAGGTGTGTCCAGTCCACGTGCTCACTGGTACATTGGTGCAAGTGTTTACTCGCGAAAGCGGCAGCGATGCAAAGACATCTATGCAGTGCTGCAGCAAGCTGCATGGGTACGTGTTTTGCTGTAAGGAGTTGATTCGTAGGTGTTGGCCGCATGGGTGAATGTTTGTGCAAACGTCTATGTGAAACAGGGTGTGAATGCAGGAGCTGGAAGACATAGCATCAATGCAGCAGGCTGCGTGGTGCTTGGTCTCGCCTCTCTCCTGACCATATCCTCTCTCTATTTTCATGCGACTAGGTGACTTTTGAGTCGACTCAAAAGTCACCGCATGGTGCGTGGTCTCGCCTCTCTCCTTACCATATCCTCTCTCTCTCTTTTCATGCCTCACCTGCAACCCCCTCCCCCTCAACAGACGCTAGACGAGCTCCCATTAGACCCAGACGCCCCCTCTCGCCCTGCCTCCTCTGCTCTCGATGCCACGGGTCTCCCCCCTCCTCCGGCCTCCTCCCACCTTCGTCTGCCTAACCCCCTTTTCTCCCTCTCTCCCTCTCCACACCCTTCCCCTTCCTGCTCCCCTTCCCCCCATCAGACACTGGACGAGCTTCCCTTGGACCCAGACGCCCCCTCTCGCCCCGCCTCCTCTGCTCTCGATGCCACAGGCCTCCCCCCATCCTCCGGCCTCCTCCCACCTTCTCCTGGCTACCCCTCCCCCGCCCCCTCGTTGCCCTACCGCCCTGCACTCGCCTCTGCTGCTGCTGCTGCTGGTGGTGGTACTTCGTATGGCTACGGGCATGGACGGGGATCGAGCAGCAGAGAAGGGGGGATGGGGCGCATCCCTTATGGCACGCCAAGCAGTCAGGTGTGCTTTCCCTTTACCCCCAAAAATATAAAATGAAACAAGTTGTGCTGGTTCCACACATCTATCTGCAATCAATGATATCTGTTTCATGCTGTCGCATAATCGCAACCAACCGTCCCAGAGGGAAGGATGACAAAAAATAAATTACTCACTCTAATCACCCTCTGCCCACTCTCCCTTCCCCTCTCCCATCCCCTTTCACTCACTCACCCCGCTCTCACCACCCCCTGCTTCCCATTCCCACGCACAACACTCACTGCCATTCCACCAGCAGCCGTCCAGGCCTGATGGGCCTCGCAGCATCGTCCATGCATGATCATCAGCACATGGTGATGCATACATGACCATCAACAGATGGCGATGCAGACATGATGATTACCATCTGGCATTGCTTACATGGCCATCCATTCATTATCATCAGCACGTGGCGATGTGTGCATGATCGTCAGCGCCACCTGGCGATGTGCTCATGACCATCTGCGCCACGTGGCGATGCGTGCATGCATGTCCATCAGCGCATGAGCAGTCTCACATGACCGCTGTCACGAACGGTGTATGTTTCGCCATTTTCACTATTGTCACGCAATCGTGCCATCCACAATCATTTCGCACCATCTGCGCCTTCCTTCCATCAAGCTCAAGCCCATGGTTTATGCTACAGTACCAAGGCATCCCTCCTGTTCACAACGATTGGATTTCAAGGCCGCATGTCATTTGTTATGGTGGTTACTTTACACTTAATCTTCATGTCCAGGGAATTAACAAATAAATGCTGTAACACACCGTACGATGTGGTTAAAACCGGGGTGCACATTCAGCTGAATGTGCATCAAAGGTTATCCCTTGACTGAGTGGGTTACGAGGTGTGCTTTCAACCCCTTCAAGTCGAAATTCGTTTCCCCCCTCCCCCGCAATTTCGTTTCCCCACGCCCCCGCAATTTCATTTCCCCCTCCCCGTCGAAATTCGTTTCTCCCCTCCCCCGCAATTTTGTTTCCCCCCTCCCCCGCAATTTCGTTTCCCCCCCCTCCCGCCAATCTGTTTCATCCCTCCCGCCATTCGGTTTCACCCACTCCCGCCATTTCACCCCCTCCCGCCACCTACGAAATGCCCGAAGCTCTAGCGGAATCATTTTTTTGTCGCCCCTCGTGAGCCAATCACTGTTTTTCTCCAAACCCCCTTCCCAACATCTCAAGCCGAACCGCGTTGAATGTGCACCCTGGTTTTAAGCATCAGATTTTCCGGCATATCTTCCAACAGGCAGCTCTAGCAGTATTTGCATTCAGATTCCTACATCTCAATTACCGTATTCACGTCTTTTGGATTCACAACATTCTAACATGAAGCATAGCTATCTGAAGCAATTAAACTTATATACTAAGCACTATGTTGCTGCTAGGTCAGGATCTAACAAAGGTTAGCCCATGCATGTCCCGGAGTCCACAGCGCAGTGCACGGGACATGCCATCAAGCGCTTGCTTGCACCATCTGACATTCAACTCCTGCAGCACCTTCAGCTCCGTCAAATCCTCTGGCAAGGCCTTCAAGCGGTCACAGCCAAACAGATTCAGTGTCCTCAGCCTGGTCAGCAGTGCAAACCTGGGGGGAAGTGAGATGATGGAAGTATTGTTAAGTCTAAGCACGCAGAGGCAGCGGAGCTGTGTGAGCGAAGATGGTAACTTCTGTAGGGCATTACAATCTGACAGATCCAGCTCACGCAGCCTGGATAAAGCACCGATGCCATCAGGGATTGAGGTAAGCTTAGGTGCAAGGACCTCCAACAATGTCAGGTGTTGGAGCTGTGAAACCGTTTCTGGCAACTCCCGAAGTTCCTCAAAGTTACATAATCGCAAATCCCGCAGCTGCTGCAATGCGGAGCCGAAGTTTTCTGGAAGGGTCTGAATCCTTGTACCATTCAAGATACTCAAGACGTGGAGATGGCCAAGTGAGCTCCAGGGAACCGAAAGCCTCTCCACGCCATCTGCCAATCCCAGCTCCAAGTTCCTCAGACAAATTGGTTGGGAGATTTGAGGAAATGAATCGACCTGACCGTTGTTCTTCCAAGACAGAACCTCCAGGGAAAGTGGCAGCGACGTAGGAAACTGACTGAGCCGTTCACACAACACGACCCTCAGCCGCTTAAGCTTTCCAAGGCTGCTTAGCCTTCTTGGCAGCAAAGATACCCCTGGACAAAACTCAATGGTCAAGGTTACAAGGCTAGAGAGCGTTGAAACAGAGTCTGGAATCCTCCTGAGTGCAGGACACCCATGAATGTTTAGATGCTGCATGTTCCTCAGATTTTCCAGACCATCCGGCAGCTCTTCAATCTCACAGTGGCCGAGCTCAAGACTTGTCAGAGAAATCAGCTGCGTGAACGAAGCGGGGAGCTGCTCCAGTATGCATCTACGCACGTGAAGAGTCTCTAGGCTGCTGAGCCATTCCATCCTCTCTGGAAGATCCAACCCCCGAAGGCTCAATGTCTTGAGAGATGTGAGACTGCTGAACTCTTCTGGCATAAGGCGGAGCCTAAGGGTGCAGTGATGTAGAAAGAGCCGCTCCAAAGATGTAGCTTGGCAGAGGGAGTCAGGTATCTCCGAGAGCGGAATGCTCTGCAGCATCAGTGACTTGAGAACAGGAAACTGTCCAAAGTCATCCGGCACGCTATGAAGCCGGTTACACTCGGTAATGGTCAAGCACTCCATTGCCCGTAGGGAAGTGATACTGTCTGGGAGTTGGTCGAGCTGGTGGCAATCTCGAATAGTCAGCTCACGCAGGCACGGCAATAGCTCTCCAATGTCATCAGGAAGGCGTTGGAGGTACGCGGATTTCGTGATCACCAGCTGTTCTAGACGGATGCATGGCCTTCCTGTAGGGAACAATGAAGTGAAACTAGGACTAGCCAGCTGGAACTCGAGATTCTTCAGATAAGGCAGTTGAGCGGCTGTGAAAGTTGCAGCTGGCGAATCATTCTTGGACAGCCGGATTTCACTGGAAATCGAAAGTTGAGAGAGTCTTGAAATGCGAGCGAGGGCTGACAGCTGTTCATGTGTCAATCTCGGGACAGCAATATGGAGAGAAGTGAGAGACGAAAGTCTTGCAAATTTGGGAAGTGTGGCGGCTGATACGTCTGTTAGGAAAACCGTGTGCAGATGCTGTAGCTGAAAGAAAGAATCCGGCAACCCGGCGTTCTTATGAAGGCAGTGAAGGGAAATCTCCTCCAGTTGATTGCACTTCAGGAAGAAATTCTCCAAACCAGCCTCCGTAACTGGGTGGTCATTCTTGCTTCCTCCACACTCCGTCGGTGTGATCCTGCGACCCACGTGAAGAGCTTTCAGTTTAGGTCGTGAGTTAGCAAGGCAAGCGAGGAATTCGTTGTCAACAATCTCGACACTCCCGTCGCCAAGGTGAGGATTCGTGAGGTTGTCGAAGAAAGCCACTGCGTTCGCTAAGTCTTGACGAGATACGAAACGGTTTTCTTGGACTGAGAGACTGGTGACTTGACGCTTAACGAGTTGACGCCAGCGACTGCATACGGACGCGATGAGCAGATTGTGTGCTGCATTTGCGAAGGCTGGAGGAGTGAATGTATTCGCCCTAAAATGCCATTTAGGAAGCGAGCCACTTGAGGAATTAATATCAGTCTGGAAAGGCATCGCATCCTGGAACCATAAAATCCTCGTAAGAAGATCATCTGAAAGTCGATTAATGTGTGAGAGACGCTCCATTTAAGCTCCCAAGGATTGACCGCAAGTACTAAAATATTTGAAGCGATATCTGGTAATCCAAGCCGAAAATTAACAGGAATGTAAGAAGGTCGGTCATACAATAGGAGTAAGAAAGCCGCTCATAGATTAGGAGTAAGAATCTCTCTCAGGTCATCATTTCTTCTCTACTAGAGAGACTTGATCACGGCTCAGCATGCTAGCCTGCGGTTTGGAGGTAAGGTGAGTGAGGAAACACACGAAGTGTTTGTGTTCCAGGAGGAGCTGACAATCTCAAGGGGGGGGATTCCTGACGTGTTCCCTTCCAAGTTCAGCCATGGCTGACATGTTCCCTGACAAGGTTGAAACGAATTTCGAAGCACTGCGTCAGAAACGCGCAATCTGCGCGTTGGTGCGAGTCTTGCACTTCCGATCTGCTGCTCATCGAACGGGCTAGATTTATTCCCAATCTGCCACAAAAGACTCGCAAGCGTCAGAAAGACACATGCTGTCAAAAATTCAGAGCTGTCAGATAAACTCGCTACTGAGCACGCGTCGTGAAACATAGGTTTTCTACGAAAACTCTGAAGCCTTATCTTCATGAAAACACAGTATTTATTTCTATTTCATGAGGTGTGATAATGCAAAATGGTGCAGCCTAGCACATCTCCATGGATTAAATTGACCTGAAGATTTACAGTGTAACTGTTCACCCATACCCTTTGAGATATTAGACTGTATTATCATCCGTCAGTAAAATGCATACTATGTACTCTACATGACTTGATTCACTTCTCATACCGTGTGCACTAACACTAACATACGCACTACAACTAACATTCATCAAGTTGAACATTTTGATAGCATCAGTTAACAACACCTTAAAAGAGAAGATGCAGCAGCCACTTTTGAAGACCCTCCATCAGCCTGATGTCCACCATACGCACCTCGGTCGGTGCCTGCTGGAAGAAATTTGTATCCACCTCAAAAAGAGAACACAGAGCACCGGGGGACGTTGACCCTGTGGGGAGTGGGCTTGGGGAGCTGAGCTTGGGAAGTTACACTTGGGGGGCTGATTTCCCGGGGGGGTTGACATGTGTTGCTGGCTGCTGCCAGCTGTGCCAGCTGTGCATGCTACTGTGCCCCTGCCTGCTGCGAGCACTGTGCGCCCGTCCACTTCCAGAAGTGCGGGCATCCTGGTGGGCTGGTCGTGCATGTACCTATTGACAGGCTGAATGGATTGAATTGGTGCTTGAAATAATGAAAGAGCAGCTGGGTTCTCCATGGTTGGATTGGTGGTGGAAGGGAGAGGGAGGTGGGTGTGGGGCGAGATGAAG